GAACCAAGCCAAGCTTGAGTCGTCTGCTAGAGCAGCAAGTGTTCTCAACTGCAGAGCTGTCTGTCCAGCCCCACGTACAGTATTTCTGTCTGAAGTGTCTATTCCTTATTAAATGTTTATATTAATTCCAGTTGAGTAAATGCCTTTACCCCCCCCCCCAAGCCTTGGACTAGTTTCTACTAAAACACGCATTTGGTCTTCACCCTCAAGTCTTGGGCACAGGACTCCTAGAACCCCTGGCATTTACTGAGTGATAAGGGTGAGGGGAGTTTCTTTCAATATTCCTTAATCCCGGCTTGAGACAAGATCTCCTTATGTGGCTCAGTCTGACATTAAAATTCACTGTGTAGCCCCAGGCTAATCTCAAAGTCAAAGCAATCCACCTGCCTCAGCCTCATGACTGCTGGGATTACAGGCATGGGCACCTACCTCAGCTAGCTCAAAAGCTCACTTCAACCACACCAGAGTTGATGTTAGTTATGACTCCAGGATGACTCCTGGAAGGCGGTGAGGCTGACTGCCCGAGAAGCCAACTTTCTGATATGAGGATTAGAGCTTTTAACCCAACCCTGATCTCCAGGAAGGGGAGAGGAAGTGGAGATTGATTTAACCACCAACAGCAGGTGGCTTAATCATGCTTATGTAATGATGATTCTATAAAGACTCTAAAACTGGGGTTCAAAGTTCAGAGAGCTTTCAAATTGGTATATCAGTGTGCCAGGAACATGCCCAAAGGTGGCACACGAAGATTCCACTCACCTCCCTTGCTCTGTTTATTTCTTCCATTCTCATAGCTGTTCTTTGGGAGGTAGGCAGGGGAGTTTTCCCTGTTTCTCACCTTTCACTATGTCACTATCTAGCTCAGGCTACCCCTGAATTCCTAATCCTCCTGCCTCAGATCCCCAATGCTGGAATTACAAGTGCCCACCACCAGAGTGGGTTCTGAGCTGTCCCCTTTAGAACAAAGTGGCAATAATAAGTAAGGAACTGTCCCACGTTCTGTGAGCCATTCCAGCAAATTACTGAGGAGGAGGAAGTGCTCTGACTGGCAGCTGGTTAGCCAGACGTGCAAGTCACAAGTGACATTAATTCTGGATACCTGTGTCACAACTATAGGATAAGATGTCTTCAGAGTTGGAGAATTGCTTTATGTCAGTGAGAGGACCTCACACATTTGTCATCAGAAGTAATGTGCATAAAAGTTTTTTTTCTTTTAAACTTTTTTTGGGGGTGTGGGAGTTGAGACAAGGTCTCATGTAGTCCAGGATGCCATCAAACTAAGCATGTTGCCAAGGATGACCTTGCAGCTCTGATCTTCCTGCTTCCACCTCTCAAGTGCTGAGATTACAGGCATACACAACCATGTCCCTTGTCTCCCCAACCCCCATCTTATCTTTTCTGTTAATCCATTTGTAACAGCCTCTCCCTAGGACAGAGATTTCCAGTTTTTGTTTCACAAGACAAAACACTCTAAAAAAGTCTCTCTGTGATTAGCATCCAAGGATCATTTCTTTGGCAGAGTTTTAGAGCCCCAAGGGTAGCCCATCAAAAGTCCTGGACCTCAAAAAAAAAAAAAAAAAAAAAAAAAAAAAAAAAAAAAAAAAAAAAAGTCCTGGACCTCAAGAGAGTGTTCCAGGCAGGCAGAGAGAAGCAACCAGCTCAAGTCATGAGGAACAGCAGGTGGAAGAGAATCAGCCCTTAGAGCATCTACTGAGAATCACCATTGATTTAGCTGAAGACACCCAAGTATCTCTTTTTGGTCAGAATTATCTTTCCCAAATCAACGCTATGGTGCTTTTTTTTTTTTATTACCAATATGAATGGGTTGGGACTGCATCAACAGGCTCCACATTAGTGTGGCAAAATGATTCAGCAGATACCCTCCAAGCAGCAGGTCTACAGGAAACAGGCTGACGACAGAGAAATTACCATTGCCTTGAACCAGCGCAGTCCCACATAGCCAGGGCCAGGAAGCTCCTGCCTGGTCTCAGTGTCTTAGGGGAAGACTAAGGTAGAAATGTCAGTCAGTTCTTATCTCATCCGTGGACCAAAGGACAAGGAGCACTCTTTAGATAGATTTTTAAACGATCTGTTGTGTGTGTGTGTGTGTGTGTGTGTGTGTGTGTGTGTGTGTGTGTGTGTGTGTATTTGAGTGGCCAGAGAAGCTAGAAGAGAGTATTTAATCCCTTGGAGCTGGAGTTGTACCTGACCTGGGTTCTAGGAACTGAACTCAGGTCCTCTGGAAGAGCAGCAAGCATTTTTACAACCAAGCCATTTCTCTAGCCCCGGGAGTACTTATTTTATCAGGGAATACTGGACACACCCCAGGCATAGCAATGAGGTTATTTTTTATTTACCTATGAGACTGAGTTGAAAGGCTACCACAATTACTATATTGCACTCATATCAGATTACAAACATAACAATGAAACTTCCTTCTTTTCTCTAGCATCCGGGAGAAGTACTTCCTTTTGCAGAGGGCCCTCCTATGAATTACTATTCAATTCTATTAATATCCCATAGCCATGGGCTCGCTAGGCATGAATATACTCTGGAATATAGGCTGACTTCCAGAGATACTGTTGCTTGTTTCTTACTCATGGCTGCTGCATGGTTTTGATTTCTATATTCTTGGACCAAAGAAAGAAGGGAGTTATGTTGTGGAATATTACTTTAACTATCTAAAGATGTGTTACATTTGTTTATGTTGCAGAATATTACTTTAACTATGTAAAGGTGTGTTGCATTTGTTTATGCTGCATTTGTTTAACTATATGAAGATGCGTTGCATTTGTTTCACCTTGCCTGCCTAAGGCTCCTGATTGGTCTAATAAAAAGCTGAACAGCCAATAGCTAGGCAGTAGAGGGATAGGAGGGGCTGGCAGGCAGAAAGAATAAGTAGGAGGAGGGATCTAGGCTTGCAAGAGAAGAGAATGAGGAAGAAAGAGAGAGAGAGATGTCCAGGGCCAGCCAGCCAGCAGCTGCCAGACAGACAGACAAAGAAGAAGCAGGAAAAATGGGACATACAGAATGAAGAAAAGGTAAAAAGCTCTGAGGCAAATCTAGATGAAGGGACACAGTTTAAAATAAGTTATAAGAGCTAGTGCAACAAGCATAAGACAAGACTGAGCATTCATAATTGATATTAAGTCTCTGTGTCATGATTTGGGAGCTGGTTGGTGGCCCCAAAGAAAGCCTGCTACAGAGTTAGACATGGTGGTACACTCCTATAACCTCAGCTCTCAAAGGAGGATCTTGAGTTTCAGGATAGCACCAGCCTCATGGTAACACCCTGTCTTTAAAAAAAAAAATAATGGAAACCATAAAGATGGGCAGTAGAACAATAAAATTCACGGAGGCTAGGAATAGGGGATGGAAGTTGTTTAAAAGACAAAATTTGGGGGCTGGCGATATGGTGCTGCTCTTGCAGAGGAACCAAGTTCAGTTCCCAGCACCCACATGGCAGCTTATAACCACCTATAACTCCAGTGCCCGGGAAATCCAATGCTGTCTTCTGGCCTCTGTGGACACCAGGCATGCACATGGTGCACATGCATACATGCAGGAAAACACTCACGTACATAAAATAAATAGCTCAAGGCTGGAGCAATGGCTTAGCTTTCTTCCAGAGAGCCTGGATTTGGTTTCCAGCACCTACCTGGTGGCTGACAACCATCTATCTATATGTCCAATTCCAGGGGATCTGATGCCCTCTTTTGACTTCCATGGGCGCCAGGCACACATCACATGGTACACAGACATATATGCAAGCAAAGCACTGATATACATAAAAATAACTAACTCAAAATCCCCAACTCATAGTATACATAAAATAAAAATAACCAAAATGGTAAAGTATATGTTTTACAAAATTTACCAAGATAAAAACCATTAGCTGAGCATAGTGGTACAAGGCTGTAATCCCAGCACTTGGGAGGCCAATGCAGTATGGTTGTGAGTTCAAAGACAGCCTGGGCTACATAGCAAGTGCTAGGTTAGCCTGGACTACAAGGTGAAACTGGTTTGTTACGTTTTTTTCTTGAAACAGGGTTTTTCTGTGTAGCCCTGGCTGTCCTGGAACTTGCTCTGTAGATAAAGCTGGCCTTGGACTCAAAAGATCTGCCTGCCTCTGCCTCCCAAGTGCTGTGATTAAAGACGTGTGCCACCATGCCTGGCTAGTGCAGTGGAACTGTTTTAATCACCATCCCCACAAAAAAGTAAGGAGAAGTGTGGCAAGTATAGATGATTTTTTTTCTCAATATTCAATCATTTTAAGGTGGAGAGATCATTTCTCAATAATGCTGGCTCATGTGAAAATCATTATTTTTATTTGATTTCTGGCTAAAACCCACAGTGTAAGAGTGGTACTCTTGGGGCTGGAGAGATGGCTCAGTGGTTAAGAGCACTGGCTGGTCTACCAGAGGACCTGGGTTCAATTCCCAGCACCCACATGGCAGCTCACAACTGTCTGTAACTCCATTTCCAGGGGATCTGACACCTTCACACCAATGCAGATAAAATAAAAAGTTAAATAAATTCTTAAAAAAAAAAAAAAAAGAGTGGTGCTCTTTAGTGTCCAGAGTTGTTGTCTCCATCTCTTGATTTACAAACGCTAGGAGGGGACGGGAGAATCTGGGAGGAAGACCAAGTAGGAGGGAAATCTGGAACAGGTCATGTGGGGATAAGAAGCCGGGTTGGTTGGTTTTCAGAGCTATGTGCCAAGTGTGTTGGTAGCTGGCAGGGAGGCAGGAGGACATCATCCTTGCAGGTGCACCCGAGGGTGGTGACGGCAGCAGAGCGGCACGGTGTGGGCGGTGCATCAAGGTGAGGCCAAGGTCGGGAGAAGGAAGGCGGGATTCGCTTTGGCTGAAATTTACTCAGGCTCTGTCGGTTTCCTGTGCTGCCGTGTAATCTGCGCGCGCATGCGCGGCCTCTCTACCACCCTCCCCGGGGCCAGTTCAGGCTTACACTCATGTTCAACCCACGAGAAAACACCAGCAGAGGTTCAACGGCCCCATTTGAGGGCTTTTTTATTGTTATGATTATTTAACATGCCAAAATCACATACAGTGGCTATTTTTGCCCTGACTCCACAGTGGGGTGGCTGAGAACTATAGGGGTGTCACTTGGCTCACGTGGCTCTGGGGATGACGAGAGATGGGGGTGCATTGAGAGACAGGCAGATCAGCAAAGGCCAGAGAGACCCTCATGTAGTATTTATTTAATGATAACTTGTAGCTTCAGACATCTTGCCTTTCTTTACTTCTTTCCTTCCTAAATGTTTCCTAGTTTTCATTTCTTAGCTTATGGCCTCTGGACCTTCTGCCATCTCTGGTTCCTCTGATTTCAGAATGGACAATGAAGGAAGATTTTCCTTGCCTCTCTATCTGCTTTCTTTCCTTGGATGGAATCTACTCAGCATGCACTAATATGTTAAGCTGCTTGATTTTTTTTTTTTTGGGGGGGGGGGTGCAGGTTTTTTTGAGACAAGGTCTCTCTCTATGTAGCCCTGGCTGGCCTTGAACATAGAGAGATCCACCTGCCTCTGCCTTTCAAGTTCTGGGACTAAAGGCATGCACCACTGCACTCTGCAAGCTCCTTGATTTATGTCTGCCCAGGGGAAGGGGCAGCTGCATCTCGGCTGACTCCTGGGAGTTGAATGGGGTGCTGCAGAAGGACCTGAAAGTGTTACCTGAAGTCTGAAGGCTGCAACGGGCACAATACACAGGACCCCACCCTCAGGCACTGCGCTCTGAAGGCTTTCCCATCCTGCCCTTAGCATTAGGGGTAGGGGAGGGTCATACCTCAAAACCTTTTGTTCTCTGCAAGGGACTGATCCACCCTTAGCCTAGTGACTACCAACAAGTCTTCTCATGTCCTTGCGTCTCTACTACTGTGAGAGCTTAAGAGAGCCTGAGAAAAGAATATACAAAGGTTAAGCTTGCCTCCAGGAGAGTCTGGGGATAAAGGGACAAGACACATGAGAGTCAGAGCTGTGGAGGGGAGAGAGGAAGCAGAGGGGTGAAGGGAAGACTGGCCACTCAGGAACTGGAATCCTTTTTCCTTTTCTGGAATCGCCTGAACTTGCCCTGAATTGCAAGGGCAGCCTTCTCTGTCTCGGGAGCTGTCAGGTCGATGTCGATCTCCTCCTCTTCCTCCGCCTTCTTGATGCTGCCAGCCTTCCCTGTAGACAGTTGGAGACACACTGTTGAGTCAACCCAACCGAATCCAGTCCTTTCCTCCAAACCTCAAACACAGCACTTTGAGCTAGACTCTTTGAGGTCCCCTAGTCTTCTCAAGGACTACAGCTGAATGATGATTCTAAAAGTTAAGGTGCTAGGCTTAGAAGTACCATAGTTTCCACAAGAGGTTTTGCTATTCTTGGATCAAATAACAAATGTCTTCTATCGTCATTTATTCCTAAATCCTGTAGTTCAGATCCTTAAAGTACACTTCCTTGCTTCAACTCCTAGTGGAGAACAGTGACTTGGATTATCTGATAAGTTTCTTCTTATCACTCAAAAATGTTTTATGGGGCTAGAGAATAGGCTCAGTGGTTAGGAGTACTTAATGCTCTTGCAGGAGACCTGGGTTACAATCCCAGCATACACATCTGGTGGTTCACAACCACCTGTAATTCCAGTTCCAGGGGCTCTGAAACCCTGTGGCCTCTTTGGGCATCTTCACGCATGTGCTGCACATAAACTCATACAGGTGCACACACATACATAGAATTTTTTTTTTTTTTTTTTTTTTGGTTTTTCGAGACAGCGTTTCTCTGTGTATCTTTGCACCTTTCCTGGAACTCACTTTGTAGCCCAGGCGGTCCTCAAACTCACAGAAATCTGCCTGCCTCTACCTTCAGAGTGCTGGGATTAAAGTGTGTACCACAGATATTTTTTAACTAAACAAATCTTTTTAAATACATTACTTTTTTTCCCCCCAGAATCTGTATTTGCCCCGTGTGTGGAGGTCAGAGGACAACTTGTGAATGCTACTTCTTGTGTTCAATCATGTATGTCCTGGAGACTGACTGAGGTCATCAGGCTTGGGGAAAAAAAAAAAAAAACACCTTTTCCCATTGAGCCATCTTGCCGACCCCTTCTTATCATTTTACATGCCTTTCCAACCTTTCAAGACTCTAGGTGATAAAATCGAGAGAGAATGCTGATACAATGACATCTTAGGAAAAAATAGCAAGAAACTAGAGCTATGATAACCCCTTGTTTCACTTATCCAGGCCCTATTCCTTTCACATCTGGTATTCGGAGCTTCTAGATTTACAGTTCTGCTTGTATCATGTTGCAGCCTTCATTAGCTCTGCTAACAGCCTAGCCCAGCCTCACTTACCTTTTTCCTCAGGGTCAGATGCCTGGTTGGCTGCTGGGGGTGTTTTTGTGTTAAGCTGAAAGACAGGAATAACAATGTGAGATATGCATGGAAGTACGAAGGTCTTTTATGCACATTCAAGCTTTCCATGACCAGACATATTTCCCAGATCTTTCGAGGAAGTAGGTCTTGAGATCAGATTAAACAAAGAATCAACATCCATTCAATAAACCCAGCATGATAGAGAATGCTTGTAATCCTAACATTCGTGAGACTGAGGCAGGAGGATTGTCACAAATTCCAGACCAAGTTGGGCCACACAGCAAGCTACTTAATGAAAACTTTTTTCAAAATGAATTAAATCAATGAATATTTCTTGATGCCAGAGAAATTGTAGAGGACAAAACAGATAAAGTAACCCTGCTTTCACAGAGCTCATTCATGGGCTATTCAGACAAACAAAATGACTGTGGTTTAAGATGATAAAAAGTGCCAGAGAAAAAGCAAGGTAGAGAAATGATGAGCGCTAGGTAAGGTCAGGGGAACAGGCCTTTACATAGTTGTGAGGAAAAGCCTATCTGATCAGCTGTGGAGCTATCATTATCATCACCACCACTACCACCACCACCACCACCATCATCATCAAGTCCTGGGGATGGAGTCCAGGACCTCCTGCATGCTAGACAAATGCTTTAGCACTGAACTATATCACCAGCCCTGGGAAAGTGCCCGAAAGGTGGCACCTGAGAAAGGAAGCTGTAGAAGGAAGGGTGGTGAAGACTGTGGATATCCGTGGCAAGACCCTGGGGTGGAAGTATGACCAACCTCTTTGAAGAACATCAGGATCCAGGCATAGCTGAAGTGGAGAGAGGAAGAAGGAAGAATGGAGACCTAGCCATGGGTAGAAGCAGATTATGCAGGGCCTCGGGGAGGCTTTATAAGGGCTTTCTTTTACTAGAAGTAAAAGGCATTGGAGAACTCTGATTTGCACAAAAGGCACATGGAAGAGGAGGCAGAAAGCCTGTGGGGAGGCGGGGGTGGATTACTGCAGTAAACCAAGCAAGAGAAGATGGTAGCTTGAATCAGAACAGTAGCAGTGCAGGGGGCAAGTGGTGAGGTTATGAGTATTATTTTCAATCTATGACCAAGGTGATTTTAATTGGATAAGTGGTATTGTAATAAAGAGGGAGTCAAGGATGGCTCCTGAGGAAGAGAATTGGCCTGAAAAACAAAAAAAGGGAGTTCTCATTTCCTGCTACAGAGAAGACAACTAATGTGTGGGTTTTAGGGAAAGGATCAGAAAGTCTGTTTTGTTTTGGTTTTGTTTTTAAAACTATTTTGGGATATCTACTAGTTATCCAAAAGGAGATGTTTCTTGTTTGTTGTTTGCTAGCTTATTTGACATGGGGTCTCTATGCAGACAGGGTAGCCCTTGAACTAATCCTCCTGCCTCCAGCTCTTCACCTCCCCAGTGCTGGGATGACAGGTGTGTGCCATGATGCCCATCTCTCTAGAATGTTTTTTGTTGGGTTTTTTTTAATAGTAAGGGTTTATTTTGATTCACAATTAAAGAAAGGATACAGCCCATCATGGCTAAGGAGGCATGGCAGCAAGAGTATGAGGAGGTTGATCATGTTGCATCCTCTCTATCATGTTTTTAAGGGATTGTTCTATTTGACAGAGATTAAACCACATCAGAGAAAGAGGGGAAAAAAACATGGGAAAATTAGGAGAGTCTTCTATCAGCGTAAGCAGGAGAGTGGCCATTTAGACTAGGACCATAGTGGCAAAGTGATAGAGAATATCAGACTTCAAGGAAGTTTCGTGGTAACAAGCTAGATTGGCAGGTGAGATTTTGAGTACAGAGAACTCTGTGAAAGAGCTTTCTCTTTAAAGACAGCTGAACTGGACAGTAGTTTGGGATGAATATGAGGTTGTAAAAAGGTGTTTGTTAAAGTAGGAGATTTGAATGCTGATGGGAATGATTCAGTAAAGAAGGAAAAATTGATGATGGGAGAGAGAAAGGATAGTTACCAGAGTGGTATCTCGAATGAGCAAGAAAAAAACAGATACAGTTCATAGTGGAAGGGTTGGCTGTAGACGGGGTATTGACACAGCATTTACAGACAGGAATGAGGGCATGGGCTGGATGCAAATTGGTGTCAGATGTGGCAGGAATGTACAGATTATCTCTACTGAGTGTTTCTGTTTTCTCAATGAAACAAGAAGGGCAATTGTCATAGGAGAGTTAAGGACAAGATGTTGTGGAATATTACTTTAACTAGGCAAAGATGTGTTACATTTGTTTATGCTGCATTTGTTTAACTATGTAAAGATGTGTTGCATTTGGTTCACCTTGCCTGCCTAAGGCTCCTGATTGGTCTGATAAACAGCTGAACGGCCAATAGCTAGGCAGGAGAGGGCTAGGTGGGGCTGGTGGGCAGAGAGAAGAGAGAGAAAAGGAGGGAGAAAGATAGACACCTGGGGCCAGCCAGCCAGGAAGCCACCAGCTGGCCAGACATGGAGTAGGACATACAGAATGAAGGAAGAGACAAAACACAGACAAAGAGAAACAGGTTAAATTAAGTTATAAGAGCTAATGGGACAAGTGTAAGCTAGGCCAAGCATTCATAACTAATAATAAGTTTCCGTGTCATGATCTGGGAGCTGGTTGGTGGCCAAAAGAAAGCCTGTTGTATCAAGGAGTGTTAAAGGTTTGAGGAAAGATGAGAATGAGTAACACAGTCATCTAAGAAAGTGAGTGAGTGATGTAGCAGGATTACCAGAGAGTGAAGGAGCCCGCTTGAGGTTACTGACTGTGGATTTAAAGTGAAACCAACCAAGATACTGTCTCTGTCTTCCAGGGTAAGTGTCTTAGTTGGGGTCTGTATTATTGTAATAAACACCATGAGCAAAAGCCACCCTGGGAAGGAAGGGTTTATTTCAGCTTACAGTTCCACATCACAGTCCACTGAAGACAGTCCGGGCAGGAACTCACGGCAGAAACCTGGAGGCAGGCACTGAGGCAGAGACCATGGAGGAATGCTGCTTAGTGGCTTGCCCAGACTGCCTTCTTATAGTACCCTGGACCACCAGCCAAGAGGTGGCACCACCCGCTGTGGTGGTATTGTGTTCCCCGAAATATTGTGCACCCTAATAAATTTACCTGGGGTCAGAGAACAGAACAGCCACTCGATACAGAGGCCAGAAAATGGTGGCACTCTGTTGACGGTGGCCTACTGTTGAGTTTCAGCCAGTGAGGGACTCAAAAACAAAGTGGACAGCACCTGAGAAACAATACTCAAGGTTAGCCCCCAGCCTCCACACATGTGGATACTCATACACATAGGTATACCTGTGTCCACTGGAACACACATACACATAGTGAATTTAAAAAATAAAATTTTTAAATTTGAGGCTGGATGTGTGGACACAAATGTATAATACCAGGACCTGGGAGGCCAGTGAATGAGGATAACAAATTCCAAGCCAGCCTGAGCTAAAGAGGTGGGGGTGGGTGGGGTGGGGTTTGAAAACACACCAAGCTGGGCCTGGTGGCACACCTAGTCCCAGCACTTGGGAGACAGAAGCTGGCAGATCTCTGTGAGTTCAAGGCCAGCCTGATTTACAGAGTGAATTCCAGCATAGGCAGGGTTACACAGAGAAACTCTGTCTTGAAAAAAATCAAAGAAAAACAAGAAAAGACACCCATCAAGATACTGAAACCCAGGAAGTCCTGCTACTCTCTTGTAGACCCAGAAGGGCTTCATGGGAGGATTATTTTTGAAATTCTGGGATGACTGACCCAGTCATTGTTCTTTTTCTCTTTGATCTTTTTGGGTTAATTGATTTTTCTTTATTTTTTGCACATGATCGGTATAATGGTCTAGTACATAATACCTTTCACTATGCCTGACTGTCATCATAAGAGTTTGTCAACACTGAAAATGTATAGCATGGAGCATGTGTAGTGAGAGATTTGCTGGCCAGTTGTCCAGGCACAAGAGTCACGGATCAAGAGGCAAGTTCAATAGTTCCACAGTCTCTACCTTCAAACCTTACTTACTTCCTCTGTTGGCCAGCAAATCTCTGTTATCCTGGTTTTAACCATTATCCATCTTTCTTACTCCAAGCTTATTGCCTTAACCCATCAAATCTTCCTCTTCATCCCAACTTCTCCCCTTTAAAAATAAACAAATGGAGCCCCATGCTAAGTATCTCCCCTTAGGGGGTTTTGTGGTGATTTGAATGAGAAATTTTCCCTATAGTGCTGGGTGTTTGAATGCTTAGCCCCTGTATGTGTTGGCTAGCTTTATGTCAACTTGACACAAGGTAGAATCCTTTTAGAAGAGGGAACCTCAATTGAGAAAATGTCCCCACCAGATTAGCTGGGCAAGTCTGTGGTGCATTTTGTTTTTGTGAGAGGACCCAGCTCACTGTGGGCAGTACTATCCCTAGGCTGGTGGTCCTGGGTACTATAAGAAAACAAGCTGAACAAGTCATGAGGAGCAAGTCAGTAAGCAGCACTCCTCCATGGACTCTGCTTTAGTTCTTGCTTCCAGTTCTTGCTGCCCTGACTTCTCTGGTTGATGGACTACAAGCTATCAGATGAAATAAACCCTGAAGTGACTTTTAGTCCATGGTGCTTGTAGATGGTTTGAAAGAAAATGCCCCCCAAAAGGAGTGGCACTGTTAGGAAGTATGACATTGTTGGAGTGGGTGTGGCCTTGTTGGAGGCAGGCTTTGAGGTCTCATATGTGCTCAAGCCATGCCCAATGAGATAGTTCACTTTCTGTTGCCTTTGGATCAAGATGTAGAATTCTGCCAGGCGGTGGTGGCGCACGCCTTTAATCCCAGCACTCGGGAGGCAGAGCCAGGCGGATCTCTGTGAGTTCGAGGCCAGCCTGGGCTACCAAGTGAGTCCCAGGAAAGGCACAAAGCTACACAGAGAAACCCTGTCTGGAAAAAACAAAAAACAAAAAACAAAACAAAAAAAAGATGTAGAATTCTCCAGCACCATGTCTGCCTTCACGCCTCCATACTACCAGACAACATGCTTGTTGCCATGATGATAAC